GGAAAAACATCGACGTATAAAGGCGCACCTTCCTTTGGGTATCTCTATGGAATTACAGAAAAATACGATGTCGAGATCATGCAGATGTTTGGCGCAGCGCACCACATGAGCGGCCCGGTCGACGCATACGGTGCGCAGCCCGCGAGGTTGCGCCAGAAGATGATCAGATCAGACACCCTTCCAAATTCAGTCTACGACGCAAAGGGCATGGTTGATTTTTGTATGGAGTACATAAAACACCCAAGCCCAAGCCCTGCAGGTACGTGGTCATGCAACGGTTGTTATATATATGGGGGCTACAACGACGGCGCAGCGAAACACGAGGACACGGACGTACAAGGCTGGGCAACTGTAGACGAAGTTAATGGAGGCATCCACTATGATGCTCCGAACGCGCATTCAAGCCAGCTGTATTGCGTTAGGATCAAAGCCCCGTGGACGCCAGAGCCGAAAGAACATCCCCTGGCGCGCGTGGACTCCGAGTCAGATCCTGATGATCTGTTTTGCACGGGCAAAGATGGCAAAAAGAAGATGTTTATTGAAACCAGATTCATAGCGTGCAGGTGCCTCCCATGCAGAAATCGTGAAAATCAGGGCACCATACTATCCGGCGAGCCAGTAGCCCCGCTCGAGTGCGATTATCAGCACTGGTGTGGCACGCCGCGGTACGTGCAACTGCTAGGCTACAGAGCTGACACGGAAGCACAGAAGGCCAAGGAGAAACTCAGGAAGACACAAGAGACACGCGAAAAAATAGCAGCAAAGAAACGTAAAACGTAAAGACCTCAATTGAAGCACTACGAAACTACGCTTGAGCTGGCACCTAAAACTCCACTAGTTACGTTCCCAACCGACCTCGCTCGCCTATCCCCCAACCTACTTACATTTTTAACGCTTGCATCCTAGTCCTCCGAGCAAAATAGAACTAGCTTCAAAATCTCAACTCCGTCCGGGGGAGGACACGTTATATGGTAGTGCTTGTTCCCGCGAATTAAGACACCGTCGCCCGGCTGCTTTAAAGGCAGCCACACCTACAAAAGTTCCATCACAACACACAACCATGAAAAACGTACTTTGGGACATGTTTGAGACAAAGGTAACGTCCGGATGTGAACTCCACTTTTTTCCTGAGCGTACTCTTCCGCATCTTCACTTTCATCGTGAGTATCACTTCTAGAAAGAACACAGATTATGGCGACATCATTGGCATTGTGTAGATCGAGATGCTCCTCAAAACATGCGTGTTCTGAAGACTGCCGGAGCACGCCGGAGCCCATGAGTGTCAAATGAAACCCGAGCACACGGACACGTTCTAGAATGTGTGCAGAATTGCCGAAGACATGGAAACAATTTCGATTCCCGCGCTCGCCCTGAGCTAAGATTAAAGGCAACTTGTCTGGGCATTCTCCTGACGTGAGCAGGAAACGCATCCGCATCCTCGTCTTGTAGCACACCGTACTCGAAGCCGTGCCAAAATTGTTTTATACGAATCTCCACATTATCCCAGTTGCGCACAATCTCATCAGAAGCAGCACGAAGTGCACCAGGCTCCAGACCATAGGGAGCACCAACAAAGTCAAGGGAGCCACCGTAAGAACCGAATGGATTCGGCCGCACCTCGAAATTACTTTGAGGAATGTAACGCAACGCGGTGGTCATTATGTTCACCGCATGCGCCGCGTTACCGTCGGTAAGCTTGTGCAAGAACCTGTGCAACTCACCCTCCATCGCGCGCAGCTCATCCGGCCCGACATCATCGCAAGCAGCGGCCGCGCGAGAAGCGCCTTGTGGCATGGCGTCACGCCCCGACGGGGCGCCCTTCCGCAGCCCGCGGGGCCCCGAACGCCCCGGGCGGGCCGAGCTAGCACAGCGGGTGGGTCACGAAGCCCACCGGAGGTCCTCGGGCAGCGATTCCACGCTAAACGCCCACCATCGTCTAAGCCGCCCTAGACGATAGACGCGAGCGTCCTTAGCGAATAAAGATTGCCCGGCCGCCGTGTGCGCACATATCACCTGCAGGCAGGCACGGATTACCTAACCCATCAAAATTTAATAATGTCGACCCCCGGGGTCGGGTTTGCCGGCAGAGTAGCCTGTCTATACATTTTGTTTAACGCTTCTCCAGGATTGGCAAATAAAGGAGTGCGTATCGTACAAGCGGAAACGGAAAATGTCTTGATCACACCCAAACAGATACTGCGATGGGCTGTCGATTTCAAAGTACCGACTGTGGTGCGTAACGCGTTCATACCACCGAACAGTTGTGCATTTGAGGACATGGGCGTCGACCCACAGCTCAAAATTCACGCAAATCTCGGTCGAGTCGGTCATTTTCAGGAAGGCAACACGCTTTCTACAATTAAGACAATAGACGAGAAGATGATGACGAACAAGTCTTTGTATGGATCCTTCGGATACGGAACGAACAATATGGATCCGGAACATCTAGATGCCTTCTTGAGGCTGAAGGACTTGTACGCCCCTGGGTTATTCACGGAGGGAGGTTACCCCGGACATATTATCTTTGGTTCTGCAAATGACACTGTAGTGTCGTCTAGTTGGCACAATGCGATAGATGCCAACCTTTTATTTCAACTGTGTGGAGACAAACTATGGCATACGACCGAAGAAGTACCATCTGATGTTACCCCGTTTCTCGTCTTCCCGAGTGCGTCCGGTTGGTTCCATAAAAATCAGCTTATTAAGGGTGGCCGACCTTGGCCGATGGAGATCGATGCTTCGGATCATGTATCTCAAGTTGTGCTACACGCCGGGGATTTGCTTATCAATCCCCCGTATTCGTGGCACGCAGTCAAAATCCAAGGCCCCAGTGTATCGCTGTCAGTTCGCGGTGATAAAGCGGATGTCATGACTTGGATGTCATACAAGTATTTTGCCGGGAACGTCAACCACCCGATTTTAATGGCATTCGCCGTCTACCTAGATGATTTTTATAATTACAAGAAATTATCAGAATCGACGGTGGCGAGATTTTTCAAGATGATTTTTCCGAATTTAGTCAAAACTGCGTACGCGCTATTTCAAGCCAAAAGCATCCGCATACATAACGCGTTAAGGGACAAGTTTCAACAGTATCAGGACAGCGGCCAGGAGAGTTGTAGTGCGGTCAATCAAGATATGTATGAGGTGCTGAACACGGACTGCTCTGATTATTGGACGGTGCCTCGGTGGCTATGCAATATTTGGTACAGCCAACCTCACATTGAACCTAGCGTCAAGTTCTGGTATTCCAAGCTTGTCTTCTTCTAGTGTGGTTTTCACCTTCAACAGGCACGACAGGCTGACGAACCCCAACTCTACCAACCCCGTTTTCTTATTAGGATCAAGATTACCTAAACGGATTTTGGCGCCGGGGCCGCGGCCTGCGGCGGCCGCTCGCGGGCCGCCGCGAGCGCTTCTGTCAGTTGCTGCTTCACTATCTCTGTAATGCTGGCTGTTAACGTTACATTATTCTTGTCCAGCATCGTCTCGAAGTCTCGCTCGTTGGTCGCATCTCGCGTATCCAACATGCTCTGGACCTGTGCCATAGTGACAGGAGCACTCAACTCCTTGTCATTCACCCGAAAATCACCCACGACTTGGTCAGGTGCCCGCTCCTCGTCACAAATCGACAATTCGACGCCCGTCTCCA